GAGGAAGTTCAAATTGCTCTGAAGAAATTGGCAAAAAACAAGGCTCCAGGAGTGGACGGCATACCAATTGACATGTTTCAACAGACAGACACTGTCCTGGATGTGCTCACTAAGTTGTGCCAAGAAATCTAGAGGACGGCCAGCTGCCTGACTGGAAAAGATTGATATTTATTCCCATTCCAAAGAAAGGTGACCCAACAGGGTGCGGGAATTATCGAACAATATCATTAATATCACATGCAAACTAGATTCTGCTGAAAATTATCCAAAAACATACGGAACAATATGTCAACAGAGAACTGCCAGATGTGCAGGCTGGATTTAGAAGGGGTCGTGGTACTAGGGATATTGTAGCTAATGTTATATGGATCTTTGCAGAAAGCAAAGAATACCAGAAGAATGTCTTTTATCTGTGCTTCATTGACTATGCAAAGGCTTTTGACTGTGTGGATCACAACAAGCTGTGGCTGACTCTGAGGAGAATGGGAATCCCAGAACATTTGATTGTGCTAATGCAGAATCTATACTTGGACCAACAGGCAGTCGTCAGAACAGAGCAAGGAGACACTACATGGTTCAAAATCAAGAAGGGGGTCCACCAGGGATGTATTCTATCTCCACATCTTTTCAATCTGTATGCAGAACAGATCATCCAAGATACTGGGCTGTATAAGGAAGAATGTGGCATCAGGGTTGGTGGAAGAGTCATCAACAACCTCCATTATGCATATGTCACAACTCTGTTGCTGAGGAGGATCTGAAGCGCTTGCTGCAGAAGGTCAAGGACTGCAGCATCCTATATGGATTGAAACTCAACATCAAGAAAGCAAAGATTCTCACCACTGGGCCAACTGGCAGCATCAGTATGGATGGTGAAGAGACTGAGATAGTTAACGGTTTTAGTTTACTTGGCTCCACAGTCAACATTCTTGGTAATAGCAGCCAGGAAATCAGGAGACGAATTGCATTGGGAAAATCAGCTGTGAGAGACCTCTCAAGAGTACTGAAGAGCAACGACATCAGGCTGGAGACTAAGGTGCACCTGATCCAGGCTATATTCTTCTCAATTACGTGCTGTGCATCAGAGAGTTGGACAGTGAATAGGG